GTATAAATTTTCTCTTTTCCCCTTTGATTTGATCCATGTAGCAGTTCTTTAGCTATTTTATCAATATTTCTAAATCTGTTACAACCAGCTGGTGTGACTCAGTGGATTGAGCATTGTTCCGTGGACTGAGAGGTCCCAGTTCAATTCCCAGTCAGGGCACATGCCCGGTTGCAGGTTTGATTCCCCAATAGGAGGCATGCAGAAGGCAGCCAATCGATGTATCTCTCTCACATTGATGTTTTTTATCTCTCTTTCCTTTCCTTTCTCCTAAAAAAAAAAAAAAACAATGAAAACATACTTTTAAAAAATTTTAATCTGTTAACACTAGTTATGAGAAATAAACAAATACTTATTGATTATCTACTAAGTATTGTTTTGGGGTTCTATACCTTCCTCTTTATTTTTCTTCTAAGTGTTCGGTGACCTGTGGTTACTTCTTTGAATAAACAGAAACTCCTGATGAGGGACTTTAAGGTTCTCCAATGATCAATATATATTTCCTCACTTGTAAGCTCTGTCACAGCCATGCAAACTCCTGCAAAATTCACCTTCTCTTACGTTCAAGCTTTCTTCAATGTCACTTATACTACGTAGCATGTACTTGTACTATGCTTCCCCTCACCTCCATCCTAAATTCTGTCACCCCTTGTAAAAAATGTATATGTAAATTATTGCATCTGATTGCCTTTTTTATGGTGACTTCTCTCAAAACCTAGCTCAACTTTCTATCCCTAATGGTTGTTCAATGGGTTGTAGATGAATATCTATGAGGATTTGAAGGGACTCTTCAAAGGTGTTGGGAAAGATATTTTAAGTCTTTTTTTCTTCAATATTCAAAGCCCTGAGTTTGTCACAAACAATATTAAATAATAATTTGTTTTTCCTTTTGAGCTCTTAACATTAGTGTGTTAATGATAATGGGCTTAGAGTCTTTCTGTACTGCTTGTCTCAATATTTCTAATGATGACAATGAATTAGAAGCAGGTCATTGTATTTTTTTCATTTTGTGACATGTTTTGTGTTAGCTAAATATATTCCTCTGAAATACATTTGAAGTTTCTCAGTTAAAAACAATCAGAGATCCAATGTATCTTAAAATTAAATTTTTATATACCTGAAATATAGAACATATTGCTGCAGTAAACATAACAAGCTGAACTTTCACCCATTAGCAAGGAAAAAATTTTATTTAGAGAAACCTCAAAATGCAACAGACCAGAAACCAGGTACTAAAGGATCACAATTTCATTTAATATCTAGAATAATATATAGGGGAGAAATAAAAGATGATTTTTCATTGCCTCTCACACAGCAAAATTATAAGAGTTCTCTTCTCTTTATTAGCTCAGAAATTATTTAAGCTTTTGGGACTTAAGACTTTCACTTAAGAACCATGTGCTTATTCTTATAGCTGTGTTTATAAAACTTTGTTAAATATTTTATGTGTATTAAAATGGAGAATGGAATATGAGTGTCAAGAGCTATTAACAAACAAATTCTAACAATCAAATAGGAAATAGAAGAGTAATGTTAAGAAAATAGTATCAAAAGTAGAAAGAAACAGTACTGGAAATAGTATTTAGCACCAAAAACTACTAAGATTTCTAAATCAGTTATCTTCTGATTTTTTTTTACACTGTTAATAGTGACAATAAATGCCATGAGTAATGCAGTTGGGGTTATTTTTCCTTGTGTGGACTGCCATTTCTGGAAATCAGTAAAACTGAAGAATGGGTTGTAAAACCTATCAGCCTACTGAATCTCCTAAGGCCTCTAAGACATGCAATGTCTAATCACAGCAATTTAAAAACTAGAGTATAAGTAACAGCCAAAGTATTTCATAGTTGCTTATATTAAAATTTTTTCCATTGAGTCCTTTTTAAAAATCCCAGATGCGAATATATTTGAATACATTTTTAAAGTTTACAGCATTGTGTGTACGAGAAACCAAAATCTTCATGGGGGCATGCTGATGAGTTGCATGATACAATGTCATTTCTGTTTGAATGCACATCCTATTTGATCACTCAAAGGTGTGTAATGCATACATGTGTGTCCTGTGTATGGTATTTTGGTCTGATGGTATGTTTGAGTTCTTTCTGGCTCTTTTTCTAGCAGAGTTCAATCCACAACTTTCTTCATTGGAGAATTTGTGAAGTAAAAGTGAGTTAATTTGTGTTACACACTCTCTTAGATAACCTTGACCTACAAATTGCTTGACTAAAGCTAAAAATAGAAAATTTGAAGAAACATATGAATAGACCCTAATTGGCCTTTAATAAATAATTTTTTTATGTTGGTTTATTTTTTTAAGTTTTCTGAATTATTTCATAGCTAACATTTGAAAAAAATATCCACCTATGAAAATGTGATATATTTTACTATATGTATGTACTATAATATCTATCCACCGTAATTTTCTTTTATACCTATAGAGCCATGTAATTGCCTAAAAAGTCACTACAACAAAAAATAAAAGCAAAAAGTAGATCAAGATTGTGGAATCTTTTAAAAAATAATCAGTTTTATAGGCCATCTTTTTATACTACTTATTTCTTTTATTGGCTTCAAAGAAAGTTGAGTTGCTAATGAAGAATTTTGCTTATACTATAATATTAGATAATGACACTTTCAAAAACAAATTCATATGTTTCTCTGTTGAAGATCATAGAGCAAAAAGTAAAAATCTTCTTTTTCTATCATTTGCTTCATCTCCTGTCTTTAACATTCCCCAAAGATTCTTTCTTTTCTAACATGTCTCATAGGCAGCAAAGGTAACATAATAGTATGCCTTTTAAAAAACTTTTCTACTGTTTTCAGTTTTATTGACTATACCTTAACCCAAACATCTAACAAGAAAAAGAAACTTGGGAGTGAGATACTCAAAGCCAATTGTTTTGCCCAAGAAGCAGAAATTTTGTTACAAGATTTAGGGCAACTTTGAGAGACACTGGGTCTAATAAAATAACTCTAGATACTGAATCAAGAAAATAATGTATTGGTTTCTATAACTGCCAGATCTTTCATATTGATACTTAGGGAAATTATTACTGACTTATTGTTTGTATCAGTGTCTCAGTCTGAAAAGCAATACCATGCAGCCTGTTTGTGAAGCAGATTCTGAGAGGCAGGAAAAATACCAACCCTATATTCTTTTACATTTTGAAAGCTAATTGTATTCAGTGGTTCTGAGTCAGGAGATGTGGCTTTGACCAGCAGTAGTGAATCTGTACACTACTGAGTAGTGTTACTCTGAAATTCAATTCTTCCTCATGTTCTTAGCTTCTTTTTTATAGTATAACGTTTCTTACAGAATGTAATTTTATAAGATTCTTAGATACTAGATGATGATGATAAATGACTATGATTTAAGAGATTTGACTTTTTGATTTATTTTTCTTAATTTTTCTGTTTATTTGACTCAAAACATTGTCTCTAAGAATTACCATTCTTTATCTATTGAAACTTTGCTTTCTGAGGAAGTTGAACATTTATTGTCTGACTCCTAATGGGACAGTTTTTGTGGATATGTCATATCACAAAACTGTTTGGTTTCCAGTTGCCTTTTTGTGATGATGGAGACAGTGGTGGTGATGCTGAGGCTGATTGCAGTAACTTATTCTGTATCCACAACAAACACTTATCACATGCCCGCTGCATGCGCAGCTCCAGTGGGCGGATTTTGTTGCTTTAAAATGAATTGGACATTAGTACTTAGAAAGCAGATAAAATGCTTCTCTAATAGTACTTAATAACAATGCTTTGCAGTTTCCTGGCTCCATTTGGGAAAATAATAGGGAATTATAACCTTAGGAAATCTATTGCTCTTCCATATATTTTCATCAATATTTGATAAAGAGTGTATATAAAGTATAACTCATGAAACCACTATTTATAGAAAATAGAAATGTATCCTTATCTTTGACAATGTTACGCTTTTCTTGCTTCCTACTCTAGAACTTCAACATAATTTCCTTATCTTGGTTTAGGCTGAATGTTGCCTTCAATATGACTAAATCTTGTATTAAAATATTTTCTTTCTTGTATTTTTGTATTTTATGAATGGTTTCTGAAATGGTCTTGCTTTATAGTGAACCCTGCTGAAGGAGCTATGGTTCTTAAAGGTACCAGTACACCTCCTTTATACACAAATATGGCAAACATTTCTATAAGCTATATCCTTTACTCCAAATATTTCCTATTCTCCACTTCATGTGCCTTAAAGATAATAATAAAGCTAAGAGAGGGTAAAGAGGTTAATCAGAAAGTTAATACCTCAGTGTTCATTGAGAAACTATTAAAACTAGAGAGGAAATAAAAAAATCTTTGGATATTTATAACTTTATTCAAAAGATCAATGATCTTGGGCACTCACCACAATTCTCCATAACCTTTATGAAAACAAGGAGCAATAAGTACTTCTTACTAAGACACACACACAAAAGTAGTTTAAAGTATACGTTCTGACATTTAGTTGGAAGATCTAATAGCCATCATAATATGCAGCATTTTTCTCCATTGAAAGCATTTACAGATCCTGATATAATTCAAGATTAACTGGAAGCAGAGACAATTCCAAGATGCCATCAAAGCAACCGACTTTGAATGTGTTTGAAGAGAAAAAGTATGATATGCCTGGTAAAGTCATGGTATATCCTCAACCTCCACCTAAAAGGAAAAATAGCCAATCATGAGACTCGATGTATATTTTTTCCAATCAACAATTAAGATATTTAAATTTGTCCATTCTATTTAAAATGTACGGTCTCATTTTTTTTTTTGGTACAAATAATAATAATAAAACAAATGAACTCTCACCAGAAAAACTGCTTGAATGTGAAAGGTGCTTCTTCTAGCTGTGGGTATGTGATAAACCGTTTTTTGTCTTAGTTGTTGCTGCAAACTGCCGTTTAAATGCTAAGCTTCCTCTAGAAACCAATTGGCTGCCCTATTCTGTATTTGAGTGATAAGATAACAAAAATGCTTTATTTCATTTGCAGACAATGCTAATGAGGAAGAGTTGGAAAAGATCAAGTAAGGTAATACTTAGCATGTGATCTTTCAGCTTTTCTTGTTGAGAGCTAGCTATCAATCAGCCTCTTTCCCAAATCTCTCTCATACCTCTTCATATTATACCACAGGACTTCACTCTTCAGTTATTTGTTTTTTTCCCATACACTTTCAGCAAACCATGTGTTGCTTTCTAAGTCAATAGAAATCACACTGATCAATCGCACCCAAATCATCCTCTTGCTACTCTCTGGTCACTTCTCAGCCTCATTCTCAGCATCTGGTTTCTGTCATCTGTACCACAGGGTCTAGAAAATGTCTGCTCTAGATCAGGAATAAAACGAGGAGGCGAGAGTAGGAACAACTTCAGAGAGAAGGAAAATCCATGTAACTTACTGTTTCTGTTCACTGAAAATTCAGCATAAGGTTTTCTAAACTCGAAAATCCCTGAATTACCTCATCTTTGGAGTGTATAATGAGAACAGTTTTTCATCATTGCCTCTTCTCACTTCAAAAAATAAATGCTTTTGCAAGTGAGAGGTGTTTATGGTCCCTATAATTTACTAAGCCCTGGCTCTTATAACTTGTAAAATATGTAAGGTATAAACTAAGCTTTGAATTTGTTCAGTGGTGGTAACACTCTTGGACACAAATAGGTATCAAGATGAAATTGACTTTTATGTGAATACTCCTTAAAATAAATCAAAGGGCTTTTATTTGTAAAAATCTTGTTTGCTCAAATTTTTATTTAAGAAGTCAGTATTCCTTTATACTAGTGACTAATTTTTTTAGACCCTGGAACATGACAATCTCTTTTCTTCCATTTTGATTGAATCATGCTATTAAATTTTTCTTTAACTTTGTCATTTTTATTATTGTGGATGAAGAAAACATATCAATATGTTGTTGCATTTATGGTAATGTCTTCATTTGCTTTAGTAAGTATTTCTAATATACATTTTCTTTCCAATTTTTGTAGAGTTAATGACCAAAACATAATTTGGCTCACACGGGTAAAAAAATGCAAAACATTTTAAGAAAAGTTGCTGAATATTTCTGATTTAGTGTTCACTGTGTTTTTTTAGTGACGGAAATAAAGTTTTAAGAAGTCTTAAAGAAATGTTTGCACTGTTCATATGACAACTTTTCCTTTGTAATTATACTTCAAAATTAGTGTTATATTGAAAGTATATTTTTAAAAATTTATGCAAGTTGGTTTTCCTCATTTAATGTCTATATTATGATATATCTTTGTAAAAAGTTGTAATCCATTAATATATAGCAATGTTCTCTCTTCCAGATATACTTAGATATAATGCTACAGCAGGATATTATGTAGTACTTAGTATTAATTAGTGGGAATGATAAATTTTATTGTGGTATAAAAAATAAATAAATATAAGTATTCTTTAAATAATTCATTTAATTTATATTTAAATTTCATTCTAATGATACATTAAACATAAATTAACTTCTTTTCCTTTGGTCTACAAAATGAATTACAATTTAATAATAAATGTCTAATCTTCATTATTTTTATATCTAAAATTCTTTGAGTTTTATTTATTATTAATAATTCACTTATACATTTAAACTGGTACATTCTTCCAGCTTGCCACTGAAGATACACATTCCTTGTGCCTAACTGCACTCACTGGGGTACCGGGCAGGTTATCTTTAGTGTATATGGGAATATGGCTTTGGAGTTTTTTAACCAAAGGGATTTCCAACTTTATGAAATTTAATGGGGATATAGAATTCTGAATAAAAGAAAATGAGTTCACTCATTTGTTTGTTTTCCTATGAGAACATACTGAACACTTGATAAATCATTCAAATCGTCACTGTCCCCGAAAACATTTGCCATATTTGTTCATATGAGAGTTAAAATCAAAATCCAAGGAATGTTTGAAATTTTAATGCCACCAATCTGCCACCCTGCACTCACACTGAAGCTGCTCCCACAATTCTTTCCCCCAGAGAATGAAGGACAAAGGATGATGTTCAAGTGCAGTAGTTCTTTCTTATCCACAGTTTTGCTTCCCCTGGTTTCACTTACCAGAGGTCAATCAAGTTGAAAAACATTAAATGGAAAATTCCAGAAATAAACAATTAATAAGTTTTAAATTGTGTGCCCTTTTTAGTAGTATGATAAAATCTTGAATCGCCCCACTCCATCTAGCCTGGGACATGAATCATCCCTTTGTGCAGGGTATCCATGCTGCATACCTCCCCTCCCGTAGGTCAGTCAGTAGCCACCTTGTTTATCAAATCAGAGATCAGAAAGAGAGAGAGAGAGAGAGAGAGAGAGACCACGTTCACATAACTTTTGTTACAGTATGTTGTTATAATTGCTCTATTTTTATTAGTTATTATTGTTCATCTTTTACTTGCCTAATTTACAAATTAATCTTTATCGTAGGCCTATATGTAGAGGGAAAAAGACATAGTGTGTGTGTGTGTGTGTGTGTGTGTGTGTGTGTGTGTGTGTGTGTAGGGTTTGATACTGTCTGTGGTTTCCAGCATACCCAGGGGTCTCAGAATTTATCCACTGCAGATGAGGGAGCATTACTGTAAATTGTGCTTCCTGAGAAACTAAGAGATAAGTAACTATACTGTATAGTTTTACATTGCTGTTTATTATGTTACTGTTGTGTGGAAATGCATTCTTTTCTAATGATATCAATCTTCGGAATAAGGCTTTTTTCTCTTATATTTTTGAAAAGAAGATATAATTTACTTGCATTACATTTAAACACAATGTAATAAATATAATAAATTACTTTATATATATATATATATATATATGCTCAAAGTCAAAGGTGATTTTTTTTTTCCTTGTGGTATGTGCCCCTAGCAGGAACTGAACCCGGGACTCTCTGGCCCACAGGCTGACACTCAACCGCTGAGCCAAACTGGCCAGGGCCAAAGGTGACTTTTTTACACAGATAGGTCATTTTCTTCTTTGGAATCTTGATTTACAAAATAAGCTCTTTTGCTGTTTTATATCAGGGCTGTGAATATGCCCCCTATCTTTGAGCACCAATGGTGAATATAAATCTGAGAATCACAAAATTTGTGCCAAAGACTTACATATGGTCAGATAATGTTGTCAGATATTCTCTCCACTATGCAGCTTTTTTTTTTTTCATTTTCTTGTATTTTTTTCAGAAGTGATATAACCTTGAAGAAGGGAAAAGCTAAATTGACATTGTTATGTTTTGTATTTGCATATCTCCCCTGTACAAGTGAATGCACTCATGGAATTCCCCATTACTTAAATATCTGCTTGTCATTTTCATCATCTTGCCCATAATGGATTCTTTCCATGGAAATCTTATTATTTGTGACACTCACATAACATGAGGTTACACTTACTATTGAAAATAACAGATGAATAGTCAACCTGATGGCAAGGAAATTGTAATTGCTCTTCAGGACTGACTTATGTATTAGTTTGGAGTAAATGTGTTACCATCTAATAATGAATAGGAAAAAAAAGTACATCTAAACTTACCTCTGTATGAAATATGTGCTATATTTAAATGGTATGTTAACCAGTAAATAATTATGAATTCCATAACATCTCCTCATCTGGGATGGTAATATCCTGTAAAATACTCATTCTGGTTTTTTATCAACACATTAACACACTTTCCATCATGTATATTTTTAATTCTCCCCCACATTCAGCTGTTATAGAAAAATGTTATTTTAAGAAGAGATCAATGTTTTCCTAAACTTGGGCAACTGGATAATTTTTCTGTTCAAAGAATGTTACTTACGTGGCAAATGCATTTGGCAGAGAAATGGTAATACTTTGAGCTGGTGTAATATTTTATTCTTTAGAAGAAGCTCATCACTGATCATTTACTCTGAGGTTAAATCATTCAACAAAAAAAGTTTCATGAGCTCAGAAGAGAAGATGTGTATGTGTGTTTTGTGAATAAATTTTATGGGTCAAAAGAAAAAATGGAAAAAAATAAAATAATTGCCTCTATCAAATGGTAAGCAGAAATTATTTTACACTACATGATATGTGTGTTGTGTGTGTGTGTATGTAGAAGAGTGAGTTTAACAGTGGATGTGATAATAATAAACTTATGCGCTTTTAATAACTCACTTCAATTGTATGAGAAATAACCTCTGTGATAATGTATACACATGTTACAATTCATATTCTCAACAATAACAGTTGAGAATTGTTTTAAGAAGAGTTCATCCTTTGAATAATATAATATAGACTATGTGATGATGTCTCATTACCATATCTTCTGTTATTTAATGGCTTATTTTTAAGTAATATATCTTTTTATAAAGATTTTATTATAATCGCTTAGCATAATTTTAATGAACTATAAAACACTTTATTCACACATTGAATAAAGCAATTTTTAATAAGACTTTTGGCAAGAATATTGTTAATTTAAACTAGAGAACACTTTCAACTCTGTAAGTCTGCAGGGCATAGTTAAACCTGACACCTTGGATGACACATTAAAAATACATCAGTGAAAACCTCTAAGTGCTTTAATTTAAGAAATGGTAGAGAAACAAATTAACACATTTTTAAGTATCTCACACAATCAGTTAGACATAATAAAAAATGTCATTATTTAACAATTATCAGGTCCTTGTACAAAGACCTCCTATCTTGATAATAAATAGGTAATTTTTAAAAAACTACAAAAAATATAAACATTCTTGGTCATTGACCTTCTCAACTGTGAGTGACAAAAATAGCGTTTATTTATTTATTTTTGGTGCCTCATTTCAAATTATTATGTATATGTATTTGAAAAAATGAGATGCTTACATTTTTTGAGGGAAATATATAATTCTTTTTAAAATCCTTACTTTGCCACTCTTTATGCTCCCAAATCTATATTACTTAAAATGCTATAAAGTCAACCTCATAATTCAGGCTTCTGAGATTTCAAAAAGCAGCAATAAACAAAGGGCAAATAGCACGAACATTTCTATTATAAAGAACTGTATTTTTACCTCAATTAACTAAATTCCTAAAATTTTAAAAATTTTGATCATTAAAATCTCTCCCCCACCAAATTCATCAATCGCTTTGCATACCAGTCGCATAGTTAGGTCATTACCTCCTGTGTTCATCTGAGGAAGAAGGGCAACTATGGAGTTGGTGCATTTTCAATTAATCACCTTAGAGCAGTGGTTCTCAACCTGTGGGTCGCGACCCTTTTGGGGGTCAAACAACTCTTTCACAGGGGTCGCCTAAGACCATCAGAAAACACATATTTCCGATGGCAATTCATAACAGTAGCAAAATTATAGTTAGGAAGTTGCAACAAAAATAATTTTATGGTTGGGGATCACCACAACATGAGGAACTGTATTAAAGGGTCACAGCATTAGGAAGGTTGAGAACCATTGCATTAGAGCACCTAATGTTTAAATGAATTTACAATACTTTTAAATGCTAAGTGGTTGTCTTTTTTGTTGTAACTATCTTGAGACTAGAGCCAAGACTTTCACATCCATTTAAGTTGCCTTAACACATTTTACATTAAGATAAAACTTACTGTTATTTGTACAGCTTGTGTTATTGATTCTGAGGAAATTGTTTGTGTAAGGAGAATTAAGCACTAATTTCTTTAATGTGATACTTGAAAGTGTTTCCACATATTGCTAAACATGGTATTTAATTAATAAAGAACTGGGAATCAAAGTAAAAAATGACAATACAAAAGGAAAACATCTTTTCTAAAAAATTAGAATAAGGTTTTTGAGTTAAATAATAGTATAGCATCAGAAAACACAGCAGTTGTTCATCTAAGGTTTGTGTCTCAGTGTCTAAATATAAGGGTATTCTTTAAGGATTTTTTTCAGAAACTGATGTGACAATGTGCTAAGTGTGACAGATCAGAACAATAACTGTAAATGTAAATGAAGTATAATTGTAGTGATGGTAAAACAATGTCTTAAACTCAAGACTTTTCCCCTATCACCTCTGACATTAGGCATGCTCCCTGACCAAACCCTATGCAAGCAACTTGGGAAAATGTAATTAATTTCTTTAAGAAATAGATTTCATGTGAAAAGCACAAGTAAATTGCATAGATGATCTCTGATGTAGTTCTACTTTTAAACTTAAAGTAGTCAAATTGCTGCACACCCTAAGTGCTTTAATTCATTATTATTTTCTGATATGAGTTTTGGTATCACATTTGGAAGGAATACATATCCTGAATGAAGTGAGACGCCAAGTGACTAACAGTCAATCAACAAATATTTATTGAGCATCTACTGTGCATTAGGCATCATTTGAGGGGCTGGACCATTACAGTCTTAGTTGCTAATAGAAGATCATGGAATTCTCAAATAAGTTATAAAACTGCTTCCTCTTCATCACCATATCAAAGGTTGATAATTTGCTGTAACAGTCATCAGTTCCCTTAATTTTACCATCACTGACACTCAGAGACAGCATGCAAAACATTAAAGTTTAAAGGATGCATGTAATTTAAAGTTATAGGTTGCATTTTTTTCTTTAAAAATAAGTAACTATGTTTTTTTTTATTTCCTAAAGTCGAATTGGTTTCACATTATAAAATCTCGGGATTAAGTCATAAAATACCCAACATGAATTCATTGTTTTGTTTACAAGCCAGTAGCCACCTGTCTCTGTATTCATTTGTTTTTAAAATTATTTTTAGAAAGCTCAAGTTAACTAAGTCATTTATATATCATAAAACTAGGAAAATTTTAGTAAAAAATTAAATCAAATTTGACTAGGTGTGTATTTATAAGTAAGATTTCTACTGTTCTTTAAAAACACTTGGAAGATCTGTGGAGTGTTAATATTGTTTTGTTGAAAGGAACAGGGGTTATCTGCCTTATTTCAAATTCTTAAAATATACTTAACAGTTCTTTCTAAAATAAAATGATAGACTTTCAGATATATTAATCAACAATTGAGAATTAAGAGGTAAGTAGACTTTTTAAAATTACAGAAATAATCCTCTCTACACTTTACTACTATTGATATCAGATACAAATAAGGCAAAGGCTTTAATTTACTCAAGGGAAGAAAATTTATAGTTTATAAAGAACCAAAGTTTCTTTAGGATATATAATTTTGGGGTTTTTATTTGTTTTGATTTTGTTGGGCTAATATTCTCAAAAACACCTCAAAGTTTAGCTAAAAATTTGTTTGTTTTTAGGAACTCTCAAAAAATGAAGTGGTTGGATCTTATTTCTCTATGAAGTCTTTCTTTTGGAGGGTAATGTCTAAATCCTTTTTATTAATCATTTTTATTTTGGTTCTGAATAGTAATTTTAAAAGTTAAATATGAATTAAGAAAATTACTTTTTAAAATAGGCTCTCAGATGTATTCATTTGCCTTTGTGACTGACTCATTTCTTCATTTGTAAAATTAAGAACTTAAAATATTTAATATATTGCTTTGAAGTCAATTTCTTTTGGGACCAAGTTTATCCCAAATTCTTAACAGCTTAGAGGCCCACGGACCTTACAGGAATCTGATGGTACTGTCTAAGGGGTCCCTCCGGTTCTCACCCCTTCTTGTAAAATCTGTTCCATCTGTTTGAGAACAATTTTCTTCTTTACAATGATCTTATACTACACATACATACAAGATAATCAGTGTTCTTCCTTTGAAAAGCATCGCATAAATCAGAAAACAAGCAACTCTGCTTTTGACTTAAATAAAGGAAAAAATGAAAATCTACAGGAAATTTGTTTTAAATGCCATTGCAATTTAATGCTATTTACTCTTTCATGACTTAAACATAATGAACTCTGTCACTCTCTTCTCCTCTGCTATAATTTTGCACTATGCGCAGCATGATTTGTTACTAATGCACTTCCTACTTTGCTTTCAAGAGTTTTCTCTTTGAAAGTTCACACTTGGCGCATGATTACCTTAGCAATGAATATTGCAATGAAAATGCTACGTTCGTAGGGCTTTGCCATTTTCATTTTGGGGATCTTAAACTGCTCATGACTGAGAACTACCTTTCTCCTTTAGAATATTAAGATTTGTTGCAGTGTCTCTTAAGATGACTGGCAGGTACTAGATTAAGTCATGAATTGACTTGGCCAGTGAGCAGGAATAAGCCACATCTATTCATTCTCTGTACCCTCCACACACTTTTTTTTTTTTGGCAGCTTTTTATTGTTATGAGTTTATTTTAATTATTGTAGCCTCTTCATTTCCTTTCAGTCTACTATGTCTGCCTTTTCTAATGTCTTTCTGTATCTTTGGTAAAATAATAATAATAACTCCTTTTATATGTTCATGTAATATCCATGAACAGAGTGACTGCTTTTGAATTGTCCCATTACCCTAAATAGAAAATGGAATTTTTTCAAGAATTTGTCTCTGTTTTCTTAAGACCCACAAATATGGTGAATTCATATGGCATACTCCTTTGCCAAGAGAGCAGAATTTAGGGGTGTTCTGTGTTGAGTTTGTTCTATATGCAGCAAATGTGCAGATTGATCATTATGACTGAAAACTTGCCACTAGGACCAACTCCATAAGTGATACTTTTTAAGGATTTCCCTTTCAAATGACCCCTTCTTTCTACTTTGCTACTTCCAAATTAATCTTCCACGTATCAGTACTTCTCATTTGGTTGTATTCATCCTTAAGTGTTCTTTATTAATATTTCTCAGTCTCTTGAATTGTCTTATTTTAAAATAGCATATGCAAATTTAAAAGGTAGTTTTTGGGGTTTTTTTGTATCTTAGATACAGTGGTCTATTGTCCTTTTTCTGAAAGTAAGTGATTGAATCATAAAAGCCAAACCTTTAGAGGTAATTTATTTTATCAATGAGGAAACTAAGGCCCAGAGAAGAGTGTCCATTGCCCTGAAGTACCTACATGGTATGATCAGGACCAATATTTTTCTCTGAATGTCATAGAAATAAATGTTTTGGTCAAGACTTAAAGGAGCAGAGTTCCTTTTTGGGTTGATGATAAATAGAGACATGATGTATAAATAGAGCTGCCTCTTGGTCTGTCTTTATTGATACCTTTTCAAATTCTTCTGGCATTATGTGACCCTTCTCCACAGCTTCTGTTTTTTTTTAAGATGTTTTTATTGATTTTTTAGAAAGAGAGAAAGGAAGAGAGAGATAGAAACATCGATGTGAGAGAGAAACATCGAGCGGCTGCCTCATGCAGGCACCCTACTGGAGACCGAGCCCACAACTGAGGCACATGCCCTGACTGGGAATTGAACTGGGACCTCTCAGTCCATGTGATGATGCTCAGTCCACTGAAGCACACCGGCTGGGCTCTCCATTGCTTCTTAAGCCCCAATGGATAGATGTGTTTGAGGGCTATCATGTAGCTGCGTGTGAGGTTCCAGTTTACCAAATCAGTGACCAAGTCTACTTTTGATGAGTATGATCTTTCCTACTCACATTCAAGGGTCATTCTGATAACTAACCTCGCAGCTCTTTGCCCAAGCAATATGTGTATTGTAATGAACTTTTCGAAGAGATGTGTAGAAAAGGAGGTTTTCCATAGACATTTTCAGATATGCAGAAAACCTAAATAGCTCAGATGAAATCTTACATAGAGTGCATTGTGCCTTCTGAGTTAAGCTGGATGTGATTTGAAGGAAAAATTTATTAGCTTGTTATGAGGACCAAAACATATGTCTAGGAGATAGCAACTGAGTTATACTAAGTGAAACTGAATTTTGGTGAGAACTTGTTCAGTGAATGTCAGTGCAATATGCTGTATCTTAATTTTCTTGAGAGCAGAATAATAGAAAGAAAAAACTGAAGTGATATAGATACATTCTAATTTTCCAAAAGCATAGCACTTATAATTCAATAAAACATGTTATCTTAGGACACAAAACATTTAGCAATGGGTATGGAAATTACCATATCTCTCATGAAATTTAATAAAAAGTATGTGAAGCCAGTTGGAGTACCCTGTCAGAATTTCATTGCAGTCTTAACTTTCTATTAAAGGATGGTAGCTTAGTTTTAAAAAATATTTAGTACATTTAAGTTTCTTCCCAGTTATCTCATTGATTAGATATTTAGATTCTGATGTTTAAGCATTAATTGAAAACATTACAGTGGATTTAAGAAAATTTTAATATTGTTTAAATGGAGAAGGCTCGGTTCTGCCAAGATACATCATATAAAGAAATGAAGAATTGGACTAGGGTATAAAATGGGCATAAGAGTGTGCATAGACTATAGAACAATTTGGAGTTACATTGGAGCCCCAGGGTCAAACAGAAGTGTGGTTGTAGGAAGACCCTGCAGACCAAGGAGGAGAGGTATTGGTTTGGTAAAACAAGAATGTGATCCTCTGCCGAAGTACTTTTATTCTGAATAACTCAATTGTATATGACATACACCCAAGAAAAGTTTAGCTATTATTTCTAGCTTTAGACATGAAAGTAAGGCCCTCAGTGAAATAAAACAATAAAAAATCTAACTTTTAGCTAAAAGTCTCAAAAAAGTCTCTGTAATTAAAACCCCAAAGTCATTTTTCAAACCATATTAGTGGTAAAAAAAAAAAAAACCTGATAGATTACTGTAGGAAACCAACATGATTACAACATATATGATGATTTTTTTATTATCTATATTTTGAGCAAATATAATAAAAGATTAGGAACTTTTGTTTGGCCACCATTAAGTTTAGGGAGGGCAGTTAAAACATTTGAAGTAAACACAAATACTTTCCTGACACTGTAAATTGTATCAAGAAGCAATAGAAATAGGAAAGAAAGTTTAAGGATAAAAACCAGGAGAATTTCTCTAAGGATTACAGTGTCAGAGAATCATCTTCTAAGAAAAAGGGGATTGAAGTTCTATTATTAGATGAGACACTTCAAACTAGGCTGCACAGAGCACTGGGGGTTTTTCTGTAAAGGCAATCATGCTTTGAGATGGTGGATGGCTACAGAGCAAATCTACTTGTTGAACTTCATCATCCAGGTGCAATTCACGGGAATAAACTCAGCAGGAAAAGAAAAAGATAGAACATGTCTGTGCCTTGGTATTGAGCTAATAATTGCTCCACATTCCAGGCTTTGCAGCACAAAACAGTTATTCTAGGCTGTCATTATCTTTTCTTTGTAGTGTCTCAGCGAATCATTTGATTAAATAAAAGCATGTGCACCTCTGTGCTAAAAATAGAAGAGAGGGCTGACTCCACACTCCGCTATTGTAAAGACACAAGCAATGTCTTTCATTCCAGATTTACAGTGTCTGCGTCTCATTTGAAGGATTAGGTTGTGTACAGGTAATAAAATCCAGAATAACAAAAGCCAAGGATTATTTGCACACATCAGGAGATGAGTATGGCTGATTGTTCCTTAAGCCACATGTTGAGTCTAAATAGATTTTTGGGGTGTTTTGATCTGTTTTTTAATCAGGATCTAGAATAATAGGATGTCTCCTGTTATAAGTGATTCCGTTTTTCAATGAATGGAATGAAAAACTTTATTAACTAGAACTGGAATATATGTGTTCTCAATGTATGTGCAAGATTCTACAACTTTACCACTTTATTAATAGACAGTAGGCTGTATTTTCTTATAGAGTACACTTAATGCTTAGATCTTTTACTGAACAATATATACTATAGTTGTTACCACTTGCCAACTTTTGTTCTTCTAAGCCCCTGATTAGCCTTTCTCAATAATCAATGCCCAAGAATATATTTTCTTTAAATGTAAGCCAAAACAGTTCAACAAAGGCTGTACAAATGAACTTCTTTCTTTTGTATCATGAGCTTAGGTTCTTTCCAAAAACTGAGATATAATGGAGAAAATCATGAATTAAGTTATCAGCAAGTCCAGATTCAAATGTCAGCTTTGCCAGTCTGTAGCCATCTGGCTTTGAATAGTGTCTTTATCTTCTCTGCACCTCTGTTTCTTTACCTTAAAAATATTTGTCATGAAAAACACTGGAGAACAAAAACTCCAGCACATGATAGCTGCCCAATATACGTTTCTTTCTCTCTGGATGATCTCATCTGTCTTTCAGACTGGCCTACTCTAATCCTCTCTGTTGATGTTATTAAAGCTGATGACTCTCATCTCATCATATTATTGTTTGGAAACTGTCTAACAACTCTGGAAGTCATTTAATACAAACTGTTAGCACCACCGTAATTTACTTCCAGTATTTCTTGTTCAGCTGTATCTTTCTTAGTCCATCTTTTGCTGCTCTTGGTTACAGCAGTAACAGGAACTTGGGGTTGCTTTGGTTGTAGCAAAGACGACAAAGGCAAATGTGTGTGGATCAAAATTTCTGCTGCTTTAGAAATATCTCTTTAACCATCACAAGTTATTAACATGTGGGATACAGTTAACATGGTCATAGTTCTTTCCTGTTCATGTAACATTTATACTTCTAGAGCTTTATCACTATATACGTAAGTAAATATATATATGTGTGTGTGTATATATATCTATATCTATCTATATCTATATAGATAGATATAGATATATTCATTCTTTTTTTCTTTATTTTACTTTTTATCACCATCTGTCCCCCCTACATCCTCCTCCACCTCCACCCACCCCTTATCACTTCTTTTGACATTGGAAACAAAACATATCGGAAACAGTCTCCAAAATTTTTGAAGCAGCAGACTTGGGAAAATGATTCTTTCCATGATTTCTTTTGCTATGTTTCTTTTTCTGCCACACCTATTAACGAAAACAGAAACCGCTCAAGCGGGATCCATCACCGTATAACCTCTGACCTCTGTCCTTTGTTTTCTTGACCACTGCAGCATTTTGCTACTAAAGAAAATAGTGGCTGGAAACTATATTGTTGCATTGGCATTTATCTTCATTTTGCTCGAAGACATTTTCTGACAGTGATTTAAGAAGCAAATACACATTTTTTTTTTTTTCAAATAATGGTTTTGAAGAGTAATGCTAAACTCTGATTGAAAGGAGGTGTTGAGAGTGGCACAAAGCTTCCCCGTACAGCTCTGACCGTTCATTTCTATCCAGACGTGCGGCAGGCCTGCTTTCCCTGACCTGGGCTTCTGCAGAGCAGAGCTTCAGAGTGTTTATTACCAAAATGCACAAGTAAGTTCAACCATTCAGTTCATTTATTTATTTATTTATTTATTTTTTGAGCTTGCATGAGCTGTGAATTCTCATGGCTGACTTACTGTTCTGAAAACCCGTTTCCTATCTTCACCTCTTTTATACATAGGATAAGGAATTGAAATCTGTTTCTTTTCAAGGAATAATATACATACACTAATATTCGCTTTAAAATGCCAGCTCACTAATTCTAAAATCTTACTAAAGATAAGTATCATTGACTCACTGTCTCAGTCTTTGAAATGTATATTGTTACCTGGTATCTTGATGTTCTTTGTTAAATCTGAACTTGGAGGAATGTTCCTTTGAGTGAGGATGTCACACTGCTGTGCGTGAGAACCAGGCAGGCCCCATGTTGGAAATGCACGTGTCTCTGCTCCACAAACTGACTCATGTCTGGGAGGATCGGGCCTGGCGATTGCAACACTTTGCACACTAAAGCTTGGGAACCACTGCTTTAAAAGTTTGAAGATTAGTTCTTCCTTTTACAGAGTTGGTTCTTTCCTTTGAAGCTAAGTTGGTTTTTCATTTTATTATTTTCTCCTTTTTTCTTTTCCTCCTCAAACAGAAATCTATTTCAACAAGGACATAGTTGAAAACATTACCTTAAGTAGCTAAGTACCAGCTGTAATATGTTAATTTTATTGAGGAATATCTTATATTTGTTTAACACTCTTTGTCCTTTAGCTGCTCAATAAGTAACGTTTGGTTGACTGGTCAATATTTGAATTAATATGTATTATATAGATATATTTTATGATAAACATTAACAAAGGAAGGAAATAATAAACAAACTTCACCTAATTTTTTAGTAGGCCCCGTTCTCTTATTAAATGTTCCACATACCTAGACCGATATGCTTTCCTAACCAGTAATTTTAAAAGCAGTACAAAGAAGGACTTTAATTAGTGTGTACCATATTCATGCCAAACAGTGAATAATGTTACTATTACAATAATTCACATGATTATGAGAACACAGGAGAAGGTGCGTACGTCGTAGAACTTCTAAAGCAGGAGTTCTCACACTGAGCGCACATTAGAACCACCTCAAGTGAGGGCGGGAAACCAGAGTGCGGGGCCCCACCCCCCAGAGCGTGTGATTTTATTGGTCTGATATGGGGCTAAACAATTTGAACTTCTAACAAATTCCCCAGCGACATTGGTGCCATTGGCCCATGGACTACACTTTCAGAACTATGCTATACAGGGGAAGAAAACGACACAGCGCAGCACGTGACACTGATGGTACCTTGGAGAGCATCAAAGCTAGCGGTTTTCAAAGGTTTTTCATTTTTTAGTTTTGGAATTTCATTTGTCACCACCCTTTTGATGAGCTTCCCAACATTTTAATTTTAAAAATAAGTAAAAGTAATAAATTGCTATCTTAAGCAGGTTAAATCTTTGTGGAATAAGTTTTTTCTATGCAGGCCCCTCTACACACAAACACCCCTAACCAACACCAGCCACCAGCACACAGAGACAGAATAGTGCTCTTAGTATACGTGGGGCCCTGGAATACAGTCTGGAAAACCATAGACAAGAAAACATGCCAGAGTCACATAGAAACTGGTGGAAAGATGCATGTGGATGTGGATGTTAAGCACTTATCTTTCTTACTATTGAAAGCATAAATTCATCTCTTCCCCCTTTACCTTATAATTTTATTTCAAGGTCCTAGTCTTCACACTTAGCGTAAATATTTATCTATTTCATGACTATGCAGTTAATCTTATCATAGGTACATTGATGGAGTTTTTTTCTAGAAGAGTATTATTTTAACAAAAAAAAATACATTGAAGAAGGAAATATCTCTTTTTGAAATGATATCTGATTAGTATGTCTTTGGAGCTCCACCTCCCCTCCTTTTTTAAACTTTTTACATTGATCGCCTTAATTTTCACATTCATTAGCCCTGTTTTTTTATGGAAATATTTTCTCTCCTCCTCCCTCTTAGCTTCCCAAGTCGGTTTGGAAATGTTCTTCCAGTTTATGGAAAAGCATTTTGTAACAACTAATGATAGTAGGTAAAGCTTTCATTAAGTTCATTTTACTCTGTGAAAGCATGAAGGATCCCAGAAAGCATTCTTTGTCCTTCTACCCCAAAAGTCAAGTTCTTGTTCTCATATGAAAAATGGGAGGAGGAGCAGGCAAGTACGGATTTCAGACATGGTACCATTCAGGAACCTGACTTAGCCTTGCTGACAGAAGATGCTGTGTAACCTGGACTGTGCCACTATTATTTTACTGAGTGCTATGTGTGACTTTTGCTTCTAGAGTGCATAGAACTTGTCATTAAATACGTGCACCAGCAAGCTGGAATATTCTAAGTATGAATACATGTGCCCATATAATAATAAAGTAGAAGGTGATTTCATATATTTGCCATATAAGAAAATCTAGCCTGGAATTTCAAATATATTCAGCTCATTGAACTAGAGAGTAAATATTTTAGCAACATTATACTTAAATGATTATTTTTAAACCTAGGAGAGAGTCTCTGAACTAAAGACCATTATTAGGAGTAAGTAACTCAGGAATAAAGGTCAGAAATACTGGGTTCCGGTCACAAATTCACTATTTATTAGCCAATGCACTTACTTCTAGGAAAGCATGGAGGATGCCATGGAAAGCATTCTTCGTCCTTCCCACCCCATGGCCAACTTCTTGTACATCAATTTCTCATCAGTAAAATGGGAATAGCAGTCTTTGCCTTCCTGCTCCGTAGGATTTTAGAGGAAACCACATAAAACAACGTACACACATGCACTTTTAAATTCTAAATAAAGCCCTATATAAATGGGTGATTATTAATTCCTTGGTTTTCACTAAGATCATTATTTTTCTTGCCAAAAAATTGTTTTTCTTCTTTCTTTCTTTGCCACTCAGATTTCTTAACAAAAGTTTCAGACCCAAAGTTTAGAAACTGATCTCTAAAGTTTGCTGTTACAGGCAGTCTTAATAGCAACAGAAGTGGATGGGTGGATAGACAGACAGGTGCTAAAATATATTGCTGCATTATATAATAATATATAGAATGAAATCTTAGAACTAAACAAGAAACTTTGAAGAGCCCTTGGCGCAATAAATTCTAAATAATTATTTTAATCTGAGAAATCCTTGATTCAAAGAAAATCCAAGCCCTGGCCGGTTTGGCTCAGCAGTTATAGCGTTGGCCTGCGGTCTGGAGAGACCTGGGTTTGGTTGCCGCTAAGGGCACGTACCTCGGTTGTAGTTTGTCCCCGACCCTGATTGGGTCGTGTGGGTGGCGACCACTCGATGTGTCCCTTTCACGTCGATGTTTCTCTCTCTCTCTCTCTCTCTGTGTGTGTGTGTCTCTCTCTATCTCTCTCTCTCTCCTCCTCCACCTCCTCCTCCCACTCTATCTGAACAAAATATTAAAAAATGTCCTCGAGTGAGGATAAGGAAAAAAAAGAAGAAAATCCAATGTGGAAACCCAATGTGTAAAACAGATGGGAGCAGAAGGGCTCTGGCTGAAGTGGGGCATAGAGTCCTCTGGAAGTTACAGGTGCCCCATGACCTCCATTGCACTTCAGAGGTATCTGAACACTGCCTTGGAGCTCGCAGAGGTGAGGAATGTGGAGAAGACGTCCCAGGCTGCTATTAATAAGGCAGAACCATCACGCAGTGTTGTTCAAAATGTACTGATCACCAAAGTAGGGAAATATGTACTGTCATGTAGACAGATTTCCATTGAAATGTTCAAATATTAAAAGTATTGTCTTTTAAAGAATGTAGTTTTCATTTTCCCAATAAAAACACCTTGAAATGCATGACTTTTGATGATGACAGATAAAAATGTCTGACATTATTATGGTGTGGAATAAAAACAGGAATTCAAAGTGGGAGGGGGAGATATACAAAATAGGCTATGGCATTATACTGTTAACATAGAAGGAATTAGGCCAAAAGTGGAGCTAATTCATAATTTAGAAGTGGAATGATTTGAAGTTGAGAGAAATATTGAATTTTTTATGAAAGGACTATAAGTGAAGAAAACATACTTGACAATATGAAAGAAACAGCAGTTTCTATGTAACTGAATCTAGAGTGTAAAGATTTTAACATTTTAGCAACTTTCTCTGGCTTTTTTTATGTGTTATTTAGTTCAGAGAGATTATATGGCCATTTTTAGTAGACTTGTTAATTTTCAAAAATTCAGTTTTGGTTCACTGACTTGAATATTGTGACTTAGAATTGAGCATAATAAAAATCATTAAAGAAAATGTTTGAATACTAGAACGAGAAATAAATCCAGAAGCATACTGTACTTGCCAATATAAATCACATATGTAATTTTTAAAATTTGTTACACAAGTTTCAAACATAAGCAGAACATTTCAGGTAGACATTGATTTTGTTTTCTGTTCTATGGTACCTTAAATACTTCTTTAGCGAGCTAAAACTCTTTTAATATGGTAATATAGACTATTTAAAAGTTAATAGAATTTACAACTAACCTTACAACTAAAAACCACCTGTAAAATCTATTTGTAACATGAAAAAAAATTTTTTTAATACATAAGTAATTAAAAATTAAATATCACAGTGTAAATGAGGGCTTTCATATTTATATTTATTTTATGATAATTTTGACACAGGCATATTTGATACATGCAAATCTCTGCTATTTTTGAAGTATCTACAGCTTGTAATTTTAAGAGTTGAAAAATTAGACTTTATTTTGAGCATTTACAATTTTACACGATCTTAAATTTATCATGAGATGATAATTGTGTATTTATTAATAATTATATAATAAATAAATATCCATCAATTATTTTTATTTAAAAAAATATGTAGTTGCCTGATATTTATTTTTTTAATTCTGACAACATTGAAAAGGTAACACCAAACGAGGCAATTTGGTTTAAAACACAATAAGCTAACTGTTTTCTTTTGCCAAAAGTTTCAGACCCAAAGTTTACGTCTGTCAGATGCACACAGAAAATCACATCTTTGGCGAGGAATAGTCAGCATCACGTTGATTGAGGGGCGAGATCTCAAGGCAATGGATTCAAACGGGTTGAGTGACCCCTATGTGAAGTTCCGGCTTGGGCATCAGAAGTACAAGAGCAAGGTAACCATATTGCTTCTGTGTTCCTGCTAGTGTTTGGAAGGCAGTGGTTAGTTAATAGCCATGCTTGGGAAGATGAAAACACTGCTTTTTAAAAATGCTTAACAGAACTTCTTTTGAACACCATGTCAGCCTTTAAGACCAACACTTATACTGGAATACTGCATCTCTTACTTTATGTGCTATGTGACCTTGGGTAAATTACTTAACTTCTCTGTCTCAATTTCTTCATTTATAACACAGGAATAAAAGTAAGAACTGTCTTTTAAAAAAGAAGGCTGGCTCTGGCCAGTTTGGCTCAGCAGTTAGAGCATCAGCCTGCAGTCCAGAGAGACCCAGGTTCGGTTCCACTAAGGGCACGTACCTCGGTTGCAGTTTGTCCCTAGCCCTGGTTGGGTCCTGCGGGTGGCAGCCACTTGATGTGTCCCTTTCACCTCTCTCCCCCCCTCCCCCCCCCCCGCCCCTTTCACTCTATCTGAACAAAAAATGGAAAAATATCCTCAGGTGAGGATAAAAAATAAAAAAAAGAAACCTGCCTCAAACCTAAGTCAATCCCTGGCACACAAAGGGCTCAATGAGTGTTGGCTACTCTTATTATTACAATTAGTACTAGTATCAGTACTACCGATGCATTCTTTTACATGCCGTGAAAATCTGTGTAAAGTATTCTGAGCCATTTTATTCAAACTGATTTGTACTAGTGCAGATCAAAAGTTGTTTTAAAATTTATTTAGAAAACAAAGAGTCAAATTCCCACTGCCAATACTAGCAGTGAGGTATGGGACAAGTCACTTTGCCTCTTCATGCCCCAATTTCCCCATCTGTAAAACTGAGAATTAAAATAATGCCTATCTACCTAATAAAGTTACTGAGAAGACTGAGTGAATATGTTATACACATAAGGGGCTTGGAATACTGTCTTGCCCATAGTAAACAGGCAATAAAAGTTAGTAGCAGAAGGAAGAGGAAGAAGAGTAGCAGCCGTAGTAGTAAGTATATTGTGTAATAACAATTATATTAGTAGTAGTAATATATTAAATAATCATATTGTTATGTTATTGAGAGGAGTGATAATAATTAGCAAATGTCATAGTTATATTTGGGGCACAAGTCTTATCTGTGTTGTATTCAAATTCAGCCTCTTTAATGGTCAGCTTTATGGACATCAGCTTCATAAATAGCTTGGGACAATTGATCACATCCATCTAGTATTAACAACTGTATTCTACCTTGATGGAAATATATTGGCCTTGACATCATTTTCATGAATTTTTGACAAACAGCCTGCCTAGGTTTCTTATCTCCCTGGAAGTTTTCATCAGCACCTGTGGTAGGTAGAGGTATCACAGAGCTGACTTGTTAGCAAGCAGTGAGAACTGCTCACGGGCTGATCCATTACCTTACTGAGTGCCCACATGGAAGAAGAGGGCATCATTTTTGACCTGAAGGAAATCATACAGGAAGGACAATCCTAAAAATGGAAACGGAAAAATTAGGCACTTTATGGCCAAATAAGTAAGACAGACCACTCCCCAAAATATCATAGGACTTCATCTGAGCCCAGTTATGAGTCATTTGAATTATCATAGCATCCATCTATTGCCATCTTTTTTTCTGCCATGTGCTTAATAACATATTTTAAAGAAACTACTGATTCCAAAATTAGGTACCTATGACCACTTCTGTCTTGTCCTTTATCAATTAACATCATTTCCATGTTCTGGTAGACTTAAAACATTACTTATTTTTATAGTTCTGCTCTTTAGGTATGAAATATGAAACCCAGCTATGGACATGTGTCTCTCTTTGCTCTCTCTTTTCATTATCTATTGCTAATTAATTTCAGATTATGAACTTTAAAAATTGTGATTCATTTGCATTACCTTTGCACATAACATACTTCATTGCTTTCAAAGTCTTTATATCTAAAGATCTGTCTCACATACATTAAAAAGAGAAAAGGCCACCACATGCCCTCCTGCTGAAAAGAAAGAATAGGAAAACAAATACAAATGTTGTTTAACTCAATGGGGAATGTAATTTTCAAGCAAGTCAGCATGGGTCACTTTATTCATTAATTCCATCAGGTGTCTTATCTGAATACCTGAAGTTACAAAATTGCACTTCAGATAAGGTATCTTTCTTATATGTACAACATGGAGATTATACACATACATACTCACATTAATTCACAAACATTTCTGACATATTGTTTGGGAGAAAGAGATCTGAAGCTCTAATCAAAGATTTCAACTAGAGTCTAGATACTAAAACATGACCTTGGATGGACCACTTAAACTCCAGGTCTCGGTTTTTCCATTTATAAGATGGAGATGATACATCAATGCTATAACTCTGAGATATATGTTTACCTGATATCCCCAAAGTTACTTGCTTTTTCCTCCTTCTCCCACAGAACTGTATATTTTTTGTATGTATTCAACTCAGGAATTCCCGTGTGGGGGAATAAGAAAATAAAGAACCTCTGGGAATTTTCGTTGTCCTTTATTATGAAATGACAGACTACTGGTCATGTCTTTGTGATTAGCTGGTTATATAAAATAAATGCTAGTGTCAGAGAGAGTTATTTCACTTATAGACTATGTTTCTGCCTTTTTTATATAATACAAATCTCTTGTCTGATATTCAAGGTGATGAGGGGGTGACTGATTTAGGACACATCCTATAGGGTTCTTTCAGACATTATGCAGTAAAGATGCTAGAGATCTAATGACTCATTTTCATTATTTCTGGAAGATTTTGTTCAAATCTCACACTTTCATGCTTTTAGATAGTACCTAACGTTTGATTTAATGTCTCAAGTTAAATTTTTTTAAAGACTGATATTGATGAGACAATAATGACTTTTTGGTTTTTCAGATTATGCCAAAAACTTTGAATCCTCAGTGGAGAGAACAATTTGATTTTCATCTCTATGAAGAAAGAGGTGGAATTATTGATATCACTGCATGGGACAAAGATGCCGGAAAAAGAGATGATTTTATTGGCAGGTTTGTGAAATTTGATATTTTTGGTTTACCCTAGAGAGGGGGAATTTTGTAAAAAGAATATTTGCTTTAAGTCTGGTTATTGTAAATGATCCTGACTGTTCTGAAAGAAGGGATCGTACCATGGTAAGGCAGTACTTGGATGAACAGAAAATTAAGTCTGAAGATTGACCAGTAGGTGGCAGTTTTGACCAGTTGATGGACAGGTTATTCAAATTAGATATCCAGAAATTTTCTCCAGATGTCAGAAATATTGTGCAAAAAAAGTTATGGGAGTTGAGAAAGAGGAATCTCATTGATATAAGACATTTAAAGGAACAGAGAGCATATTCATAGTCTGTAAAATGATCTGAGATTATATTACTTTTTATAAAGCATATTGTGACCATAAAATGCATTGTTTCCTCAAACTCCCTACAAAGTAGAGTCTTCATACATTGGCAGAGTTCCCCAGTTTTAGTGAAGTGAGTGTTTTGGGGGCAGATTCATGTTAATCTGATAATGCAGTGAAGAAGGGGCTATCTGAGGCTTACATGACATCTCTGCACACAGACAGTTATTTTGAATGCCTGCTTGATAACTGAATTGTTTTCTCATCTTAAAGCTTGTTTTTATAGTTCTTGGTAGTTTTATATGTCTTGTAGCAAAACATATTGAAAGTTGCCAGTCCTGAAATAAAGCATGCTGCACAGAAGGGTTTGTTAGTTCAGAAAATTCTTTCCTCTTTATAGTTTGTGTGATTCCAAGTCTCTAAACATACAGCCTGAAGAACTGCATACATACTAATAAACAGAATTTTATGCTAGAAAAGGGAAAACAAGAATCCAACCCAACATATTTGTCTCTGTGTTATTTTTTGTTATTCTGATATATATGTTTTAAACAATGGTTTTCATCATAGGATTATAAAGTGAGAGGTCAAAGATTCACTTTTGTTAACCTTTAATATCTTACTTATAAAGTGAAATAAGAAAAATACCACTGTAACCTAATAGTATGTTATATTTCTATCCTTTAAAAAGGGCAGGCCTTTATTGCATATTTTTTTCTCTAGTAAAACTATTTTCAGATTTTTCTTAAAGTTTATCTTGTTCTCTTTTGGGTACCAGCAGTTTAAATACCAGTAGATATCTGTTAATGCTAAATACATTTCATTATAACTATATATCTATGTTTCTGACTCCCTCACTGCACTCTGGGTTCTTGCAAGTAGATACTATATCTAGCTTTTTCTTGAATAATCAATTCATTTTCATAATTTATAGCAACATTAACTATATTTGGTGACCAAACGATAATTGGTAAGACACTCAGTCACGGGTAACTTTCTACTTCAATCTTGTTACTTTCATTCAAGCTTTCTTCTACTGGTAAAACAATGAAGTAATTGGTAAAGTTTACTGGCTTTCTGTACTTCTGGGTCCATATTACATGAAGTTCTTTTATCCTTTTTTCCATTTTTCTCCCATAATGACTTATATCCTTTTATATATTCTTTCTTTATTTGAAAATAATTTGGAAATTATGAAAACTTCTCAACCCGTTTGGTACTGATCTTTTCCTCGACTGGTAACATGAATTCTTCAAGGATGTACCTAACTAGTGGACGTAAACGCTTGGCCCAGACGTGGACCTGTCTCTCTGACTTCACCTTGTTTCATGACTGTATTCATAGTTTCGCAAATTTAAAGGGAACAGTTACAAATGACTGATTGGAAGATCGTATAGATTATTCTAGGTGACTGGGGGAACTAAGAATTATGAACTTTGCGGGGAAAAGAAGAAATTCATTTGTGGAGCTCCTGGGTTGGTGGACACATGGAGCTGCTGGGGGAGGGGAGCATCCTGACGGGGCTCGGAAGCCCTGTGACCCTTCCCACTTACTTTGCCCTTAGCATTTCTTCCACCTGGCCATTCCTGAGTTATCCTTTTATCATAAACTAGTCATCTAGTTGGAAGTGTATTCTTCCTTCTTATGTTTTCTGACTATTGGAAGTGTTTACCACCCACATATAGTTTCTGGTTTGGGCTTTGCCTGGCCTCTTGGATGAGTTCTTTATGCTTGTGGCTATTACACAGGAGAACCCAGCACGGGGAACGAAGGAGCCCGGGACTCCATCGCCCTCATGGACACACTGTGTGCTCTGCCTCTAATGTTGTGCGTGGATTAAAACTGCTTGTGCAGTGATGCCAAATGTAGCTGTTAAAGAATAATAAGTGGTTTTTAAACTCTTGTTCATTTTGAATGATTTACTTTTATTTCTAGTTACATGTTCTTTTTTTTTAATATACTTACTTATCTGACATCAGCCTCACTTTTAAAAAATGATTTTTGATCATATATCCAACTTATGAAAGCCATCTGAGCTAAAATTGTTTTATAATAAACAAGAGCACAGGTGTAAATAAGATGACTCCTGGGACATCATTTGAGCATGAGTTTAAACCACTGTACACATGTGAAGGTAATTACTGTTGAATTTGGGATAATGAAAAATGAACAGTAGAAACTTGTACACTCTGCTAATTTAACAAAGATGCCTATTGCAGAGAAAGGAAATGACACTGTAGATGACCATTTCTGATCTATTCAATGTTCAGATAGCTCCAGAAACTCTAGTTACTTAACTTTATGTTTATTAAATTGTGCTTTAAACACATCCTGCCATTGGGGGAAAACAAAACAAAACACCTATTGTTATAACTAACTGGCAAGCAAGTAAAGTGACTTGTGCTTGTGTACAGATTGGGTGGGAACAGTGGCAATAATGCAGATTATAATAGAATCTCTTGGTTCCTGGAATAGTTTAAAAGAGAACTGACTTATCTCCCAATTAAATTTGAATTTTAAGAGTAAAGTAATAGGAGCAAAACTATCATTGTGGTCTTCTGTCTTCTTTTGCAAGCCATCATTGCAACATTCTGTCTGTATGAACTTATTTTATTTACTCATTTGTTTATTTTTATTGAAATGTATTTGATTATAACATGTAAATTTAAGGTGCACACCATGGTGACTTGACACATTTATATACTATAATATGATTGCCATTATAGCTAGAGTTAGCACCTCTATCATATCGCATAATTATCATTTCTTTGTGGTAGGAATAATTAAATTTTCTCTATATGAATTTAAAGTTAGAGACTAATTGTGGAAGAGGCTGATGGTTGATGAGTAAATTTAAAGTTGGCCATGGAGGGTAATATTTCCCCTTCAATGACTAATAAACTTTTTAAAGAACACTATCTAAATTCAGTCCCAAATTTGAGAACACTTTGTATAAATTAGATTATGTAGACTAGTTTATTGTGTTATTGTTCACTCTATTTTCCACATTAGATCATATATAATGATTTTTGGAAATGTGTTTTATAAATGTCTATTCAATAACAGGGCTTTTTTAAATAATGAAGATAAGACTGGCTATGAATGAAAGCCACTTGCAAATCTGGAGTATTGAAACAGTGAAAGCTGTTTTAACATTGAACATTACCCACCCCCATTCTCCCTTGAACCTGAACAGCCAGGCTTTTACTCAATAATTGACTGAAATTGCTTTTGTCAAGGTCTCCCGTGATCACCAAGTTGTTGAATCCAATGACCAGTTTGCAACCTTCATTTTAGCTGACCCAGCAGCAGTGCTGTGCTTGGCTGATTGCTTCCTTACCTTAAAATACGTTTTTCCCTTGGCTTCCAGGATATCAGACTGTTTTCCTCTTACCTCACTGCAGCTATTTCTTGGTCTCCTGCACAGATTTTTTTCCCTCATCTCCCTCCTTAGTTCTAGAGAGCCTCGGGACTTAAGCCTTTTGCATCTTTTCTGTCTGTACCTGCTTCACGGTGACTTCATTCACTCATGCTTTTCATAGCACCTAAGACTGACAATGACAAAGAAACATCTCTGCTCCGTAACTCCTATGAACTCCAGATTCCCACATCCGGCAGCCTACTTGATATCTCGTCTGCAGTGTCTAATAGGCTTCTCCAATTTGGCAGGTCCAAAGGCAACCCATTAGCAACCTGCTAACTTTTGCTTCAAAATATGTTCAGAATTCTCTCCTCTGATTATCTCAATCATTATGATTCTGATTGAAGCCCCGTCCACTTTCATATGGACAATAGCAAGAGCCTCCTGTACTTCCTTCCACATAACATTAATAAAATAATTGAACTCCTCTTCCCATAATGATCTGGATAAAACCAGTAGTATAATGTTCTTCACAGTCTAGCCCAGTGACCCCTCTACCCTGAACTTTTGCTGTTCGGTTACTTACTCTCTTCGAGCTGTTCTGGCCTCTTCACTGTTTCTCAAGCACATTGGACACTCTCTCACCTCAAGACCCGTCCCTCAGTCTGTAAGACCCTTTCTATAGATGTCCACCTGCCTTCTTTACCATTTTTAGGTCTGTGCACAAATGTCACATTAGGGAGGCATTCATACCAGCCCTACTTAAAATTGAAACCCCTTTTCCTAGATCCCCTATCCTGCTTTGTTTTCTCAATTAAAGTATCACCACTTGACATACTTTGCATTTTATATACTTATGTTATCATTTATTTTCTATCACTAAAATGCTCCAGTGGGTTTTGTTCCTTTAGGATTTTGAGTGTTTTGTTTATTGTGGCTTCCTTGATGCCTAGAAAAGTGTCTGGTACATAATAGATACTCAATAAATATTTGCAGGACTTTAATTTAATTATCTGAAGCTTAATTTAATACTCAAAATTATGGTTCTTCCTCCTCTAAATAAATACAGAATTTGACACCAGGGGTTAATGAAAAGGCAGTTAGAACAATATGCTTTAGTGGAACGTACAAAGTTGCAGTGTAATTGAGGAAAGATATTTGTGAATAATTCAAGAGGGGAGAATTAATGAGTTGAAGTATGAAAGTGTCTGAGTAATCTTTATACTAAAAAAACACAGAATTGTTTGGAGAAAAAAGTGCTCTATACATTTATCAAAATACATATAACTTTTTCATCATTACGATATCTAG